TGTGTGTGAATGAGTGTATGTGGGTGTAGCAGCAGGAATGGCATTCACTGTGTAAAACATGCTGGAATAGTTGTTGGTTCATTCCGCTGTGGTTTACCACTGAAATAGAGACTAAGCCAAAGTAAAATTACACACATGCACAGACATATATGCGAATAAGCAGACACTATATATACACACACAGTGTCCTTAATCAGTGTCGGGCCAGAGCAGTTTACGCATTAGAGCTGTTAACTCTACTTAGTGAAGTTCTTCTATATCTGTGTGTGTGTGTGTGTGTGTGTGTGTGTGTGTGTGTGTGTGTGTGCAGATGTTGTTTATTCTAGTGAACGGAGCAGATAAATCCAACAGCCGTGTTCTGGAGTATTTCAGCCTGAAGTCTGCAGATCTCCCCCGGGTCGGCCTTTATGACGTCACGCTGGACCAGAAGTGGCTGATGGCGGCGGGAGAGATCACTACTGAGCGCGTGCAGAACTTCTGCGACTCCTTCCTGGATGGTGAACTGCAGGTGAGTGGAGCATTAAAGGGTCAGTTCACCAATGACTGAATGAGAAGATGTATTCTGCACCAGGACACTTATCCAGTAATGTCGTGTCAGTTTAGTGGCTGATTCCTCTCATTTTATACGAGTTCTGCCAAATGAATATGCATGATTTTTAAAAGGAGGTGTGGCACCAAACCCCGCCCCTAAACCGACCCTCATTGGAGGAGGAGCAAATAAATTAAATTGTAGGAATGAGAATGAGCCGCTAAATCAAAACGTTATGAATGATGGTGAAATAGTGTTGGTTACATCTGTGTCAAACATATATAATATCTACAGATATAATCTTATATTCTTAATGTTAAACATGTTGTTTTGCTTAATTCTCAAACACTTTTAGACTCAATTTTCAGACACGTTTTGCATATGAAACTGAACTTCTATGATCATGAAGTGTGATATTTTGTTAGACATAATAAATGTGTATAGCACTGCTTATAAACCTTGATGAGTTCCTTTATTCAGTTGAACACAAGTGAAGATCATTTGAAGAATGCTGGAAACCGCTGATCAATGACTTCTATAGCAAAAACAAATGCTATGGTAGTCAATGGTTACAGGTTTTTAGCATTCTTCAAAATATCTTCTTTTGTGCTCAGCAAAAGAAAGAAACTTGTAAATGTTTATGAACACTTGAGTGGTATTTATTACACTCAAAAGAAGATATTTTGAAGAATGTTGAAAACTGGTAACCATTGACATCCTCAGGAAAAACAAATACCATGGAATTCACTGGTTACCGGTTTTCAACATTCTTCAATTCATCTTCCTTTGTCTGAGCAGAAGAAAGACAGCTGTAAATGTTTATAAACACTTAAGTGGTATTAATTACACTCACAAGAAGATTTTTGAAAAATGTTGCATACCGGTAACCATTGACTTCAATTGAAAAAGAACAAATACCATGGAAGTCTATGGTTACCCATTTCCAACATTCTTCAAAACATCTTTTTTTGTGTTCAATAGAAGAAAGAAAGTTGTAAAGGTTTATAAACCCTTGAGTGGTTTTAATTAAACTCAAAAATATATATATTTTGAAGAATGTTGGAAATCGGTAACCATTGACTTCCCCAGGAAAAACAAATGCCATGGTATACAATGGTTACCAGTTTTCAACATCCTTCAAATTATCTTCTTTTGTGTTCAGCAGAAGAAAGTTGTAAAGGTTTATGAACACTTGAATGGTATAATTACACTCAAAAGAAGATATTTCAAAGAATGTTGAAAACCGGTCACCATTCACTTTGATTGGAAAAACAAATACTGTGGAATTCATTAGTTTACAACGTTCTTTAAAATAAACTTATTTTATGTTCTGCAGAAGAAAGAAACTCATAAAGGTGCACTTGAGTGGTCATAATTAAACTCAGAGAAGATATTTTGAAGAATGTTGGAAACCGGCTGGAATTGACTTGCATAGCATTTGTTTTCCTATGGGAGTCAATGGTTGTCAGTTTCATTCTTCAAAATATCTTCTTTAGTGTTCAGCTGAATAAATAAAGTCATGAATGTTTCAGAACGTGTGTATTATGAGTAAATGTGTATGTTTGCGTGAACTGACCCTTTAAGACTGAAACACTGCGTTCATCTGTGTTTAACAGAAGCAGAGAGACGCTGAAGACAAAACTGAGCTCTGATCAGATGTGTTTCTGCATTAAAACAGGATCTGATGCTAAAGCTGCAGCAGTGATGTGTGTGTGTGTGTGTGTGTGTGTGTCTGGCTGCCATATATATAGTGTGTATTCGCCACACTGTGAGGCTGTAAACTCATGATGGAGAATAAAGACACGCAGCTTTAAATCTGCTGGAAATGTCTGGATTCCTGGGCTGAATGTGGATAATGAGCGGGTTTAGTTTACAGAGCGGAAACGAGAATTATAATCTCCTGAAAATCCCTGGAAGCAAACACACACACACACACACACACACACACACACACACACACACACATATACAGGCTGAGTTTGTGTTTATTTGTGTGAACTGATGCAGTGAGAGTTATATAGAATGGTCTGGAAGAGACGCAGAGATGTGTCCTCACAGCGGGGTTATGGAGACACACACACACACACACACACACACAGATGATGATGATGATGATGATAATAATAGAGAAATATAATAATAATTGATCTGCTCATATATTCACTTTAACTCAGGTTAAGGAGGTCCATCAGCAACCTGTACACTCTGTGTGTGTGTGTGTCTGTGTGTGTCTGTGTGTGTGTGTCTGTGTGTGTGTGTGTGTGTGTGTCTGGGTTTCTGCGTCAGAGGGCGGGGCCTCAGGTTTGAAATCTCCCAGGTTTGCGCGTGCACGTAAATAACTTGGTTTCGTTCGTACGTCATGGCGAAACACCTAATGAATCGGTATCAAGGCGACTCGTTTGAAGCACTATGAGTCGACTCTTTTATAGATGAATCAACAGTTTTAAACACTGTACACTAACAGATTTAAGCTTTAGCTGGATACTTCACTTCACTTAGAGCTGTGTTACACACTACATGG